CAGCTGCCATATGTTCAGTGGTTGGGTTCTCCATGAACTGGCTTACATAAACCACTGAGAATGCCAAATCCAGCCTTGAATTCACCAAGTAGCGCAAAGATCCCACAATGCTTCTGTACCGAGTTGAATCAACAGCAGGGGCAGTGCTCAACTTACTCAGTTTCAACCGTGGCTCCATGGGAGTCTTGCTTGGTTTACAGCCTGCCAGACCGGCTCCTTCAAGGATCTTCGCAGCATACCCTCTCTGGCACAGGGTGATCCCATCTTCAGCCTGTACCACCTCCAGCCCGAGGTAGTATTTGAGCAGTCCCAGATCAGACATCTGGAACGTCGACTTCATCTCCTCCTTGAACTTGTCGATGTCGGAGTGGTTGTCGCCGGTGATCACCAGGTCATCCACATAGACCCCCACAACTAGACGCCGATCACTCTGTCCACGCAGGTACACAGCATGCTCTGAAGTGCTCCTTGTGAACCCAAGCTTGAGCAACGAGGCGTCCAGTTTGGAGTACCAGGCACGGGGAGCTTGGCGCAGACCATACAATGCCTTGACGAGATGAAGTACCTTGTGTTCGTGCCCTTTGAGCACAAAGCCTGGTGGCTGCTCGACGTAGACGTCCTCCAGTAGCTCCCCGTTGAGGAACGCGGACTTGACGTCCATGTGATGCACTGCCCATCCTTCACACGCAGCATAGGCCAACAGCAAACGCACGGACTCAAGGTGAGCCACTGGTGCAAAAACTTCGTCGTAGTCCACGCCTTGTCGCTGCACATAGCCCTTTGCGACGAGCCGGGCTTTGAATTTGGTGATCAGCCCAGCCTCATCCCTCTTGGTCTTGTACACCCATTTGAGGCCAATGGGGCGCGTCCGTAGCGGCGGCTCGACCAGCTCCCAAGTGTCATTGGCCTCGATGGAGGTGAACTCGTCGAGCATCACATGGCGCCAATTTTCATGCTTCATCGCCTCCTCGAACGTTACAGGTTCAGCTTCGCTCGCCAGCAGCAGCTGCTCCTCCAGCTCTCGTGCGGCCACCCCAGGTGGTGTGACCGACCCCAAGATGTTGTCGACACCACGGTACCGGAGGGGAACATCATCATCATGGTCCGCGTCCAGGTGTTGCGATGCGCCGGCACCCGGTGGTGACACGAACTCGACCGGGTCCGTGTGCAGCTGCGCGTGCGTGCCTGGCGTCGCGCTCCCGGCTGTGTGCCACGGCGAGCCTGGTGGTGGTGTTGAAGAGGACGATGTAGACGAACTCGCCCCTGGAGTCGATGTGCGTGTGGTCGTTGACGTCGTGGTGGTGATCACCTCGGGCGACGCTGTGGGGAATTGCTCGATGACGAAGTCCCCGCCGTCGTCGAAGTGGCCTTCACCCCAGCTCCACTGCGCCTCTTCTTGGAACACCACATCGCGACTGATATGGACACGCCGCGCCACCGGGTCATAGACACGGTACGCCTTGGAACCTAGTTCGTAGCCAACGAAGATCATCTTGCGGCTGCGATTGTCGAGTTTCTTGAGGCTTGGGGAAGTCACCTTCACATGGACGAGACACCCAAATGTCCGAAGATGGTGGACAGCTGGCGTGCTCCCCGTCCAGAGCTCGTAGGGAGTCTTGCCCCCGACGCTCTTTGACGATGATCGATTGAGCAGGTACACCGCCGTGGTGACTGCCTCCCCCTAGAACACGCCGGGGAGGCCCTTCGCCTTTAGGATGCTACGTGCCGTCCCCACGATGGACTGGTTGCGGCGCTCCACGACACCGTTCTGTTGTGGCGTGTACGGTGCCGTGAGCTCGCGCCTGACGTCGAGTTCAGCACAGTAGTCGACGAAGTCCGCGGCAGTGAATTCCCCGCCACGGTCCGTCCGCAGCGCCTTCAGCTTCTTCCCGCTCTTGCGCTCCGCAGTGGCCTGGATGCGCTTGATCGCCGTCAGGGCAGCATCCTTGGTAGGCAGCAGGGCGAGCCACATGTAACGAGAATAGTCGTCGACGAAGAGAAGGAAATACCGGTTGCCGCTCGACGTCGCCGGTGTGATGGGGCCACACAAGTCACCGTGCAACAGCTGGAGCGCCTCGGTGGAACGTCCCAGCGCACGCTGGGGAAACGGGGCGCGCCGGTGCTTCCCAGCGAGGCAGGCTTCACAGACCTGCTCCACCTGAGTGAGCAGGGGCAGACCTCGGACGAGCCCGTCTCTGCCCATCTTCCGCAGAGCGACGAAGTGGAGATGCCCGAATCGGGCATGCTAGACCCAGGCGTCGTCGTCGACGCGAGCAGCCAGGCAGACCGGCCGTGCGATGGTGACGTCGAGCACGTACAGCCTCCCTGGGCTGCGGTGGATCTTCGCGAGCAGACGCCTTTCCTCGTCGTGGATCTGCATCATGCCATCCTCCACGAGCACCTGGTACCTGGCTTCGTCGAGCTGGCCGACGGAGATGATGTTGGCGGTGAGGCGCGGAAGGTAGTAGACGTTCGGGAGCGACCGGTGCTCGCCATTTTTGCAGGCAAAGAGCACAGTACCGCTCCCTTCGATCTGCGCGACGGCGCCATCACCGAATCGCACGGTGCCGGTGATGCCGGTGTCGAGGTCGGTGAAGGCAGCTCGCGATCCCGACATATGGTTGGACGCGCCGGTGTCCAGGATCCAGCGCTTCGGATCCCGGTCCTTCGCGGCGTCGAGGGTGGCGTGGACCTTCTGCTCGACGAGGTGGAGGGCGGCGCCATCTTGGGTCGCCGGGGTAGCAGGGCGCGTTGGTACTAGCGGCGGCTGTGTGAGTGGTGGAGCGGGCGGCGGCTGGGAGAGCTGTGTAGCTGGCGACGGCGGCCCTGAGCCGTGCGGTGGCGGCGGCACTGGACTGTGCGGCGGCGGCGACGGTACTAAGGAGTACTAGCTCTCCTGCTCGTGGGTGGAACTGATGGCTAGCAAAAGAGTGGGCTCATCGTCTTGGGCCACGTGGGCTTGCTCCTCCCTTTTCTTTGTCCTGCAATCTTTGGCCCAATGACCTTTTTTCCACAATGTTTGCACTCATCGTCAGGATTTGGACGGCCCGTGCTGGAACCAGCCCTCGAGTCGTTGCTGCCGCCGGCGCCACGGCTGCGGCCTCTCCCACGACGTTTGCCACGGCTGCCAGAGGTCGAGCCGCCACGATTGGACCCTTGGTCCCGCTTCTTGTAGCGCTCGATCCACTGCTCCTCCGTGAGTAGCAGCTTCCCAGCAACAGTCTGCGCCGGCGGGGGCTCGTCGTCGGCAGCCTTGAGTCTCCCTGTGACTTCTTCGATGGACAACGTGGAGATGTCCAGGAGGGTCTCTATGGAGATGACAAGTTGCTTATACCTTGGGCGCGCGACGCGCAGGTACTTTGCCACCACCTTCTCGTCCGGCTCCGGGTCGCCCAACATTGCCAGACGCTGCACGATGTTCGTTAGACGGAGCGCAAAGTCTTCGATTGACTCGCCGTCGCGGATGGCGATGCCCTCGTACTCGCAGCGGACGGCCTGCGCGGTCGCCTTCCGCACGCGGTCGTCGCCGATGCGGAGGGTCTTGATGGCCTCCCAGGCTTCCTTCGTAGTTAGCTTGGTCGCGAGTGCGGGCACCATCTCCGCCGGGACAGCGCTGCAGATCGCGTCGAGAGCGCTGCGATCGTCGTCGAACTCCACGTCGTCGTACTCGACGGCGTCCCAGAGGTGACGCGCCTGCATCTTCAGCTTCATGCGGAGCGACCATTCGTGGTAGTTCGTCCTTGTCAGCTGCGGCCAGTTGCCGGAGCTGCTGCCCTCCCGGATGACACGTTCAATGACGACCTCCCGCGGACGTCGTGCGTTGCGGGTGCGTGAACGGCGTGCGTCGCGCGTGCGTGAACGACGAGGAGGGGAATGAGTCGGAGTAGGCGTGCGCGGCGGCGTCTTGCCGCCGGAGCCGCCGGAACCGTCATCCTTCTTGGACAGTGAACGGCCATGGGCTCTCGTCGGAGACGCCATGGCGACGGCGAGGTCCCTCGAACTGAGCTCTGATGCCACTTGTTAGTCACCGGACGGCGGTTGATGCCGGCGGGAGGTCACGAGCACGACGGTGGCGAACACGAAGGCAAAGGACTCAACGCACACGAATACTGGAACACGGTGGTTTTTTGGTGCTGCCTGAAAGCGCAGCTTTTCTGAGTTGCTTTCTTCCTTTTATTGAAACGGATTACAAAGAACGGAGGTCTCAGCGGCAGCCCGTGCATCGCGCTCTGGTGCATCCATCCCCACACCCACGATGTCGTGCACGACCGAGATCCCAGGCTCGTGGGCGAGCTAGTCCAGCTCCACGGCCTCCTAAGTGTGCGGCTAACCACAGGTTGGTGCTCGGCACATGCAAAACAGAAAAAGGAAACATGCCTATCTTTTGCAACTAATCCTGCGCAAGAATTACTAACAGCGGCGAGGCGATCGAACCACTAGCCCACTGCTACGATGATATATACCAACTGCCAGGCGATTGCGAATTATGCAGAGGAAGGCAAGGTTTGCATGCAATGCAGTGGAGTAGGCATGTGGATTTCTGATCTGGCTGCTCTGCCTGTATGCATGCTTCTTTCCAGAATCCAGATTCTGTTTCCTGCTGCAGACAGTCGACGTTGGCACTGCGAGGCTGCTGTGGCACAAATGCCAATGTCGCCAGGCCGAATCATGCTTGATGCCTCCTTGTTTTTGGATGATGGATAGAGGAAAGCGCCACAAAATGGGGGTGAAGAACTCAATCAGTGGCTAGTAGTAGTAGTAGTGCTAGAGATAAATAAAACAATATGAACACAGCTTTATGACACTAGTTTAGTTTGTATTCCTCCTGCTGTTTTTCAGACTTGAAATCTGCCCAAGAGTAGTTACCACTCTCCTGGATGCTACAAGCTCTATTCGTTACTCCTCGACCCGATCCCTACTCGTTAATGTGTACAACTTTGCCTCTGATCATGCATCCATCCACAGCTTTGCAATTGCCCCTTCATCACTAGTAACGACATCTAACTGCATTGGGCTCTATCTTTGTCATTACCTTCCACTGAATTCGGGCTTGAATCAGGCATGTGCCTTTTCTTGCCGGTTTTTTGCTGTACTCTATTAGTGGTATTGGTATGAAGTACAGGAGATAATATTGTTGCACGCCTAGAACTGCGGTCAAATTCTCTACAACATATGTACCCTGCACAGATCAGAAGATAACTGATTGTGAAGAAAAACAAAATGACTTCCCCATCTAAAAAGTCATGATCTTATCTTATGAGAAACACCAAATGAACATAAGCGCCCCTGAGTCTATATATGGTTAATGAACCCTAAGACAAGGGGTAGAAAAAGATGCTAACCAATAAGCGTTTATTATTAACATTTTTAAAGATTTTATCTTTAGAACTAATTTTATACCGAGGAGTTCCATATTGCATTATGTATTTACACTCCATTGAAGCTTCTCTGTTCCTATAGGAGCAATAACTTTGTATCATCTTTTAATTGTTTTGTTCACATAGAAGAAATAGAACATAACCATATACCTGAATGATATAAACGTTGAATTCCTTCTTGCGTTTGACCTGAGTAAATGATGCAATGCAATTAGTGCTTCTATTGAACAATTGTTCATCACATATTATTTTAAAGTGATAATATACCTCTGGCGATGGTAGTTAATGATGTGCCAAAGTACACCCTACACCTTCTGAAGTTCCAGAAAATATCTCTTTTTATTTGTATAGGTGAACGGGTAGATGAATGATCTGCAAAAACCTAGAAAAGTGAATGCTATATTTAGTTAGTCAACATCAAACAGTTTAGTTTTGTGTATGTAAGAAGACATATATATAGAGTAGTGACTTTATTAGAAGAACAAGGTTGGAAAATAGTGTACTACCTCATTTATTTGAAAGTATGTACCATCCAATGGGAATATTTCTCTGTTTGCTGTCCGGCAAGGTATCTATTATGAAATAAAATAGTTTCGAATTATTCATAGATCTTGAAATTGGAGTTTCCAAGAGAAAGCTTGCATCGTTCTTATAATATTTTCAAAAGCATACGGTTATAATAAGTGGTAGATGAGATTTAAGCACACCAACTCACCATAATTGTAGCATTCACACTATGGTCATCGTAATCACGAATTATAAAGAGATACGGGTTGCAATCACCATGAACCCTTGGTTCAAACTAGTAATCCAAGCAATTCGTCATTATGAGTTTGTTACTTCCATAAAAAATAATGCATAGTTTAGAATTAATTATAAAGAATAGAAGAATGAAGCTAACAACTACTAACCGTGTCCAAGATTTCATGCCCATCTGGGATTATGTACCTATAAAATGCAAAAGTGGCGTATCAGAAAATAGATGTGCATATTTTGAGGTATTTTATAGCATATTTCTGTTGACTTAATTGAAACAGAAATCATGTCATACGCAAGGTACTCTGTTCGTAGATTGTATCTCCTTTGAATTGGGATTGGGTTGTCATGTGGATGGATCAAAATCATATCTGTTCCTTGTGATGGCCCTGTCGTTGCATGTTCAGTAGGTTTCTTTGGCCGAATATCAAACGCTACATCATAACATGGAACAACATCTTCTATATCAACAATATTGTGATACTCTTGTTCGTACTCTTCCTGATACTCTTGTTCATACTCTCCCTCACTTGATGATTCTGGGTATTCATGTGGTGGAGTTGGTGGTATCTCAATAATAGGCTCGGTGCTATGCCTTTCTGTACTTTTTCCCATTTCAATTTGGCACTGATATGTGTGTTCACGACTTGGTTTGACCATTACAGCATCATGTATTCTTTCAACCATGTCTGTTTGCCCTCCTCCATCCTGCTGACTATACTTCAGAAGGTCGTGCCTGGCTCTATTAAGAAACACCACATTGCATTATTTTCTTCATTAGAACAAAGTGTACTTAATAATGAATATTTATGAAAAGACAAATTAAAATGTTGTACCTTTATGAATATAAGTAGGATGAATAGAAAACTTTACATTTAGTTTCACTAGTTGAAACCTTTATATGTTTAGCTTCTCAGCTAAAGAAAAATCATAAATGCAACAATATAGTACCCAATGATGTATTAAATAGACTGTGGATATTGAAACTAACATTTGAAAGAGACTTTTATAGTACTTGCAATCTTCAGTAAATGGGCAGGCGCCACAATTCGGTCGATTTTTGGCGCATATTAACTATCATAGCAAATAAGCCACATCATCAGTACTGAGAAAACAAAACAAAAATCCATTTACATACCTTTCCAAAAAAGCAAATCAATTTGCATACCTTTCCAAATGTTATTTGTTGGCAATGCAATTCATACCTATATTTGTCATCATATATTAGATTTATATATATTATAGTATTCCATGGACAAAGTTCTAGGAAAGCAACTAAATTAACAGTTCAAACTAGAGAACTTACCGTATGTGTGAAGGAATATTGCAGAATAAGGGCTCAAGATACTCCTGAATTTTAGCCATGACAGGTTCTCTTTAAATGGACAAAAGATGGCGCTGAGGAATATTGAAGTTTGAGTATGTAAATGTGCACAGCAAAAACTAAAAGATGATCTTACTTGTCCACCATATGGAACTCTATAGAATCACCTAAAGGTTGAAGTGGGACCCATCCTAACCTTGTCACTATGCGAGCTACATTTACATCAACCTAAAATAATAATAAGAATTTATCATAGTTTTGTTAGTTCCTGATGCACTCCCCTATGACAATAACTATTTCAATTTGGAAGTGGTTGCTTGCCGGAAATCCTCTATGCCTCAGTGATAGGAGACGGATGCAGTCAACACTTTTATATCCAATCCCTATTATACTCTGTAGGTACTTCCTGAATGAATGGACAAAAACAAAATACGAATACTTATTCATTCCGTGGCTAATTTTTTTTATATACAAAAATATAAACCTATAGTATCAATTCACTAAAATGAATATCTTAGCGTGGCTACTCTTTAAATTAAAGTCCCTTAAAAGAGATACATTTTGTGTAAGCTTACAAGCACTAATACGAGTATACAAATGTATTTGTCTTACTTTGCTAAAGTCCCTTAAAGAATCACGTATTTTGTGTAAGCTTACAAAGCACTAATACGAGTATACAAATATATGTATCTTACTTTGCCTTTGCACGGGGGATGTATCTAAGCCACTCGAGGTCAATGCTTCCTTGATCTCTCTTGATCCGTATGAGTAAAAACTGTAGAAAGTATACAATATCAGATAATACACTTTATGTTCATTTAATCGACTAGAGAGTTAGTTTCAACCTCATTACAACAAACAAAATGAAATGTAAGGAGTACTACTTTGTACAAAGATTATGCTTTCATAAGGACAATGCAACAAAGTTGTGAAATTAATGAAAAAGAATCAAGAAATTGACATTTTAACTAATATCTGTTATGCTTGTAAAACAAAATCAAATATAAAAATCTCTAGTCTAGATTGAAATGTCTCCATGATCTCTTGGATGCGTCTTAATATAGTTTGTTTTGTAAAATTATTATCTGTACTCTATTAAGACGAAACTGGAATCATTCACACCCCCAAAATTAGGGTGTTTGGTGAACGACGATGGGATGCATAGGTGGTTTGAGGGACACCGAAATGTCATTTTTCTTGAACTTAAAACTTCGTGTCTTTAGCTTCTTACCCAGTTCTTATACTTCCAGCAGTCTATTGTTGATTGATATTATGTTAGGGTGGTTACAGTTTACAAAATGGAATATGCAAATAGATATCTTATGTAATAGAGCCACATAAGAACCTTCTCAAAAATCTTGTTTTACATGTCGTCTGAATCATGCTTGGCACAAATCGGTCTCCTGTACATGTTGGTGCTAATTTGCCACCTATTTGACATCACTGAATTTGCTGCAAGTTAATTAGGCTTAATGTGTTATTGTTGTTCAGGAGCTTTTCCCCTACAGATCTTATACTCGCGGCAGTGATGGTTGGGAAATGATGGTCGAATGCATATTTATTATGCATAAAAAAACTGGTGATTCCAAGGGTGTCTAGCATGGGTTACAAATATAGTCGATGTTACAACATATTATCTCTGCCCATTCTGCTCTTGATCTTACGGATTTTTTTTGTTCTGCTGCAGATACATTTTGCTGCAAGTCCACGAGACAGGAACAATTTGGTAAAGTATGACAGGAAAACTAGATACTTTCAAATTACTGGCCTGGCAAGGATTTCCGGTCATTACTATATGGATTTTTTGTGTTCTTGCCCCTTACTTTGAAGTGCAATTGTGATTTTGCCTTCATTTTTCTAACTTTGTGATTTTGCTCTTCAGTACTAGCAAGTCAATGCGATTTTGCCCCTGGTCTTTGTGATTTTGCCCCTGTTTTGACCGTTGACCAGGGGCAAAATCGCATTGACTTGCTCGTAGTGAAGGGCAAAATCACAAAGTTAGAAAAACGAGGGTAAAATCACAATTTCGATGCAAAATAGGGGTACAAATGCAAGAGCCCCCTACTATATTAGTCATAGAACTATTCCGACAATGAGTACCTAAAGCCTACAATGGGGGATATTGAGATATGCTGACTGTTTTCTCTGAGTGATAATTTGAGCATGTTGGTGCCAAGCTAGATGAGAATGGAACTGGCAAAGCTTTTGGACTGTGTGCTGATTCCTGTGAAAGGGAGCTTGTTAGATCCTAGTGCAAAGATCAATGTTCTGCTGCAAGCTTCTTCTTTTTTTCCCTGTCGATTACACTTTATAATTCTGATATGGTATACATCAAGGTTCAAACTGTAAGGCCTTTCTCTTAGTTCTGATATGGTATACATCAGATAGGTAGCACTTTTTTTTTCTGTCAATTACACTTTATAATTCGTTTGCACGCTTTCACCTTACTTAATACACTATTTGAACCTAAATTTCTTGCTTATATTGTACTCCATTTCACCCCTTCTGTAATGCAGAGTGCTGGCCATCTCTTGGGAGCATTGTCTGAGATTGTTCAGAAGAGGGGATGGGCTCAACTAGCGGACAGGGAGATATGATGAAACTGGAGAAAAATAATTTGGCTTTGGAGAGGTACTATGATCTGTCATCATAAGAACTTGGTGAACAAACCCCTTATCCCAAGATGGGGAGACTGGTGCACAAGTGCATTCAGCAGTTACCCAAATTGAACCTGTCAGAGAACAATGAGCTGATATAGCCATTTGTGAAATTTTCTGATGTACTCAATAGGGAGACAGCTAGCTTCAGTTGGTAGCAACAGTGAAATAGCTTCAGTTGCTTTAACTTTATTATTGGTGCCAACATTGTTTCGAAAACCCTTCTTATGGGACCAACAACTTTGATTAACATAGTTTTGTCACCCGTAGCAACGCACGGGCATTGGCTAGTCTAGTTAGAAATCTTGGTATACATGTTAGAAATACCAGCTAGCATTCAAAACAAAACGTGCTAGATAAAAATTAGGTGTCATAAAAAGAGGAGACATGCATTGGAATTTTATATGGTACGGTTTGTGACTACGTACCAGTATTCTGAATGCCATAAGGGAGTGAGTTCCACGGTCCTTGATGCATTCTTCAATTTCACCAAACGATGCGTGCAGTAGAGTCTCCCAATCAATTGTTTCATCTGTTTCCTCCTTCCGATACCCATTTTTGTAGGCTTCCTCAAGCAGGTATTTCCAACAAGAAGTATCGTTCTCTAGGAAAGATTTAATATCCTGTAAAATTTTCTCAACCGTCGAATCTTCAAACCTTTTCTCCAACACCTCCTTTATATGCTCTTTGTCCTTGTCCCAATTTGATATTTCTCCCGTTCTGAACGATGCAATGAGCTGGTTTATGTGCTTATTATCACGTCGTTCAGACACTCCTGAATCACAATCTGTTATCAAAGGTACATTTGTACTTTGGCCGGCATTGCTTCCATTCTTCGCAAAGGAGAACTTCGCAGCAATGTTCATGAAAACATTGCTGAAAAATCCAGAATGGTAGTTAATTAGGACTGTCCAAGCAATTAATTTGAAAACTAATTAATTGTACAAAAAATGAATAGATCTGAGTTTAACCTACCTTGATGTAACGTCAGTGACATTTTGTGTTAGAAACGTGCCGACTACGGAAGTAAGTACGGATCCTTTCCAATTCGAAAACTCCCTTTTACCTGTGATTGTACACGAAAATATATATCTCAGGATCGATTTCCTTGTGTTAATTAACTCAAACACTATACATGAAAATATATGTTAGGGCTTCCTTCATGTTAATAACTGAAAAAAACACAAATAATACATGTTATGAACACATGAATTAATGATACATGAATGTTACCGATGATTGCGCGTGCAGGCCCCATGAACTTATCCACCAAGACCTGCAAACGTTGGCGCTCCTCTTCCAGCTCAGGGCCCTCCGGGACGCCGTCCAGGTCGTCACCCAAGCACGTCTCGTCCGATCGCACCAGCTCATTGTACGCTGCCTCTATCGCGGGGGTGATGCGCACCAGCTGCCGCAGCGTCTTCGCGTTGGGGAGCACCACAGACTCGAACCCCCAGTGCGGCACGTACATCAGCTCCGTTCCAGTGGACTCGTTGCGAATGGAGAGCGCCATGGCGATGGGGTCATCGTCATCGGCAACGATGGCGTCTTCATCTTCATCAGTAGCGGCAGCGGCCCGCTGCTTGCTCTTGTAAGGCTTCAGGACAAGTTTGGGCACCCGTCTTGTCAGCATCGCCTTCTTCTTCTTGCCCTTGGTGGTGCCCTGCCCATCTGCCGTGGAGGTGGTGGAGCTGTCGACGTCGGGGAGGGGTAGCAGCAGGGTGTTTTGCTTGGCGAGGGACCTCAGGTTCTCCATCAGCTGTGCTCGGCTGTAGGAACGCAGATCGATCTTCGGCGATGCTAACGTGCGGGGTGGCTTCTTGACGTCGTCGCCCAAGGCGAGCTTGACGAGGGATCTCAGGTTGTCCATGAGCATGGCCCTGCTGAAGGAACAGAGCGGTGCGCCGCTGCCGATCTTGGCGTCGTCCAGGTCGAGCCTGCGGCGCACCAGCAGGGGGTTTCCGCCGACGCCGCCATCGCCGGCTTCCTCCTCCAGGTCGAGCCTACGGCGCACGGTGTTTTCGACAGCGCCATCACGGCCGGCTTCTGTCTTCTTTTTCCTCGCCTTGCGCACCGACGCTTTCCTAGCAGTTAGCGGCGGCTTTGGCGTGCTGACCTTCCGTGTGTCAAGAATTTTGAATCTAGACTTGCCCTTTTGGGAACGCTTCTTCCTCCATGTAGATTTTGGGAGGACCTCTGCTGCTGCCATGGTGAGGGTTGACGTCGCTGCGGGGCTCGCTTCCAGGGCACGGCGAGGGCGTGCTGACTACTCGAGTGCTCGGCCTCGGGACGAAGCAGGGATTGCAGCACGGCGAGGCAGCGGGAGCAGGGAGCGTTGGCGTGCGGCGCGAGGAGAGGGACGGGACCGGATAGTACCGGGCGAACAGAATATGTATGGAGATATAATAGATGATGATGACCGAGCCCTGAGGGTTGAAACGGTTTGGCATCGTACTATGCAATCGTGAAGTAGACGTACACGACGGACCTGCTGGGCTCCTTGCCCTCGAGCCACAGGTGGCACTCGATCGTCGGGGTCGACGGCCGAGGCCCCCTCAACCCTCTCGACGGCAGAGGCCCAAGGCGCACATGCTGAAGAAGCAGAGCCGCGGGACGCCGAGGTTGGCTGCGAGCTCAGTTGTCCATGGGTGGATGAAATCCGACACTGCACGATACACGTCGGGTACGGCGCGTACGTGAGCGCGGAAGTGGCTCTTGGCGTGCGCGGTAGTAGTTCCACATGTACCTTGGTGGAACTCTGTCCCCGTCGTCCGTCCGCACCTTCCGGCAGGCCGGACTCGGCGTAGTCGAGCGGGAACTCGAGGAGCCGGACCGGCCGGCAGCATAGCGCCTTGTCTAGAAGTTTTTGTTGGTGAGGCTATACATTTGCCCATTAACTAATTTTTGGACATTCATGCTTGCACATTTAAATTACAGTTCATGAATTAGTACATGTCTTGAGTTGTCCTAGATAAACAGAAGAACATCAGCTACTTAAAAGCATATCTGAATCCACTACGCAGTAGCAGATAAGTTTGATGAGGTTCAGGTGCTTAGGAACATCCAGTAATTGGACTTCAACAAGGCACTGCTTGTGCACTTGAAATCAGATTTTTTTATAGAAAAAAACCATGAACTGTTTTTGACGTATGTTATAGAAAAATGTTTGTGCACCATGAACTGTTATAGAAAAAAACCTAACTGATCTTGTCGTATGTTTCCGACACTGCAAAATGTTTAGTGCCCAAGCAATTAGATTCCCTTGATATAACCCCCTTTCTGCCCTGCCTGCAATTTGCAGTGTTAGAGTTACTATAGTTAGAGCATTCCCTTGATATAACCACCTTTCTGTTGCTTGTTCTAGTTTCAGAGTTACTGTAATTAGAGCATATTCATGTCACTAAGGATTTGTGATATACTTCTGAACTTAGAATGAATCTTGATGCTTTCAATGCTAACCAATTCACAGATTTTGCATTTTTGGAGAAAAAAAATAACCTGACCGCTTATGTATATATTGGCCTTGGTATATAGTTCCAGCAGCCTTTTTCTTATAATGCTTTGCTACATTGAGTGATTGAATTATAGTATAAGTTTCTTTGCACTGCTTCTCAAGAGGCTTGTTTCTGTTTATCGCTTGACACAGGGTTCCTGGTTGACCTTCCTAGATGTGTGTTTCTTTCGGCTGCTAATTATATTCATGTCAAGGTCGCCGGACTATTTTTTGTGGTAACCAATGGTTAATGAAGATTGACTCTCTTATCTGATAGTTTGCTACTTTCTCTCTTTTTTTAACTTTGTTGATTGACTCTCCTCCCTTTAAAAAATGATGCAGGATGACAGTTTGCTACTTTCTCTCTTTTTAACATTGTCGATTGACTCTCCTCTCTTTGAAAAATGATGCAGGATGAAAACAGTGCAAACTAAAAGGTGTAAGTGGAGCATGCTTCGATAACTGTGGTTTCACTTACTCTTCTGTCTTCAGACTCTAGAAAACTGGTATTGTGTGCCAATAGAATGACGTAGAAAGCTATTGTGTTTTTACTTGTGTGCATGTTGTTCTTCAGACTTCAGGTTAGGAATCAGGCAAGCTGATTTTGAAGGAACCTGACAGCTTGGTGAAATTCATATGAATTGTTCACCTAGAGAGCTACCAAGGTACAACTTCATCTCTTTTTCTGTCCATGGCTCCATGCCTTTCAAGCGCTGCCTTTGCAAGCAAGGATGAAATAAAATTTGCCATCCTAACATCCTTAGAAATCTGGAGTTCTCAAATCTTTAACAATTTTTGTTCCTAGGTTATTGCACCATGAATTACTGATTACTATATTGGATACCATTTACTGAGAAATTTCACTTTTATTGCAAAATGTGTTCCTACCCCTGTAGAAAAATATAGCATATGTTAACTCTCATGGTTGTTTGATTTAATAGGATGTATAGACTAGAAGGTATATTTTCTGGAGATTGGAGGCCATGGATTAGTTGAGATGGCTATGGAACTTAGCACAATCTATTAAATTGTTTACTTTTCTCTCAGTTTGAGAGTGACATGATAATATGATGCTGTAAGAATCAGCATGCAAATAGTCTCAGGGAGTTCTCCAGGAGGTTGTAGACCAGGGTACTGTTTGGGTGAGGGCGGTAGTGGTGGCAGTCATGTTGCATACTCGAGGGGTATGCCGGACCTTATGCGCCAATTCTTCGGAATTCTGAAAAGGTGATCTTTCTCCAGTTAGTTCTTCATTCTTGGCCTCAATAATCTTTGCACGTTTGTTTCCTTATCTCTTAAGTGCTTGCTGCCTTAGTTCTATATTGTTGTTGCAATGTGAAACATGCTCTAGAAAGTCTGATCAATTTATTATAGTAAACAACGTGAATGCCTCATAAATGATCCAAATGAAACATGTGAGGACCTAGATTATTATTACATGCTGATTGCCTGAATATACTGAGCCAAAATCTATTCATTAATAAAAATATATCTTTTAAATTAAGATTTAGATTAGATGTTTGATTCTGTTGTCTTTGAGTGAACATGTAAATACCTCTCCCAGTATATTATCTTTTAGTTTGTCAGGGTAATCCAATTTCTTTTATAAGAACCGTTACCTGGCTGTGACTGAGTGTTTGTCTGATCTTCAATTGAAGACAGGTATCTAACCATGAGTGTTTGGAACCTATTCTATCTGTTTCTCGATTTGATCACTAAGTAATTAGTTTGTTCTGCTTTCTAGGACATTACATTCTTTGATAAAAAAGAATCAGTTATGGATGACTGCTCCTATTGATTTGTTCTAACTTCAATCTGGCCTCCTTTACTGATGAGCACTGTTGTTTGACATTTTGTCGGATTCTGTTCTTTTATGGCTTCTTACGGACCATTGGGCTGAAGCCAATTGTGTGATTCTCATGAAGCCTAAGAGTCACACGGTCCTAATATTTCACCAGCAAAACCCAAGTTATCTCAGTTGATAGTTAGCTAAAAAACGAATCTCACTAAATGTCGAGGGTTCAATCTCTTTTAGTACAACACGTGCCACTTTATCTCGTTGCAAGGCACGGGAATTTACCTAGTACTACAAATGCAAATAAAGTAATCAACTCAAACGGTTCTTTCTGTTAGACATTTAATAGAAATATAGACAAGTTACTTATACAGGGAGATTAATATATATAATGCCCCCAAACAATTGGGCCTTTAGCAACAGGGGTAAACGCTTGTTGGGGGCGTGCCCCACCTATGGCCACCCTGTGTGGCTCAATCGCCGTCCTGGTTCCTCGCAAGAGCGAAGTAATGGGAGTTGGACTTCGGCGCACTCAGCATTTCGCTATAATAACAGGCGAGAGGGCTGATCATGTGCGAAGAGAAGGGTGTGTCGGCCCCCCTTCTCGCTGCAGTGAAGCAAGGGCGACACTTGCCGTCCCATTCTTAGAATTCCCTTCTCGCTATGGCGAAAGGGTGGACTCAGCGGCCGGGATTAGGTTCTGCCAAAGGAGAGTGCGCAGTAGGCCTTGGCTATTCGCTCAGGCGAATAGTTGTTAACGGCTGGGGCGATCGTTTCTGCAGGTTCCGCCGAAGGAGGGCGCACAGTCAGTCTCGGCTATTCGCTCAGGCGAATAGCCATTAACGGTTTGGTCGATCGTTTCTATAGGTTTCGCCAAAGGAGGAACCGCCTGCCTTCGCACAGCCGACAGCTTCTGCCGCTAGGGCCCCCCACGGTCGGTTGGGCATGCAACATAAGGTGGAGCCGGTCGGGCCTCCCTGGGCCGGCGTTATCCAAGGAAGGTGGGCACTCCAAATGGCGAACAAGCCCAAGGTTGCGTGGAATATTCCCTGAATTTGTAGTAGTTGAAAGGGCATTTATGTCCTATGAGTGGCCTACGGGCATGCATAAATAGCCCCTGTTGAGGGACTGTAAAGGAGAGGAGGAATAAGTTCAATGAAATCATTCATCTTGTTTCGTTCAAGTCTTGTTTTATCTACTTCTCGTACTTAATTTCGCTTGAGTGACAACCGGTGTTCGAAGGCCGTGGCCTAGAACAACATTGGCGAGAATCATACCACTACATTGAGCTTATCATGCCACCAAAGAAGACGAAGATAACGATGGATAAAGCAGCACCATCCGTGGCTGTAGCCATTGCGGCGGTAGCGGAAGCAGCCATGCGAAAATGATGCAGCAACAGCTACGGAACCACCCGCGCCGCGGCCGTAGATGGATAATACCGCAGCGTCAGGAGGGCAAGAGAAAACGCCAGAAGGTGATGTCAAAGAAGTCGAGATCGACCAAAATGGCGATGAGGTCGAAGAAGATGTAGACAGTGAGATCACTAAGCAATCAAGAAACCTGAAGACCCTGAATCAGTACTAGCAAGACATCCTCAGACTCCAGAACGAGAAGGAGCAGCTGCTCAGGCAAGCCGCTGCCCGTAATAGAGCCGAACAGACGTAGAGGGCAATTAGGGAAGTCAAAATCTAGAGGGGTAGATTGGCGAGAGAAATTCAAGGACTGCAGGGAGCAGGAGCAGGAGGTGCCATCTACGCTGGCGAAAACATTGTAATACCAGACGATAACCTCTCGAAAGTAGACGAAAGTGCATATGACCCCACTTCACCTTTGTCGAAAGAACTTAAGCTGTATCCGTGGCCAGCCAGCTACAAGCCTCGCATTTCTGTCTTCGACGGAAAGTCAAACCCGAGAAAGT